ATAATTCTGTTGGATCATTAATTATGTAGGATTAAAATTAATTTCTAGAACGTCAACATTTTTTATAACATTACTCATTATGCTTGAGATTCCTACGTAATAAACTGACAAAATTATTTTTAGATCTGTATCCAGTTAGATCTTTGAATATTTTAGTTCATATATTCATAGTTCAAAGTCATTTCTGTATAGGAAATTATAATATTGATATTACTATTAGTTTACCAGATAAATAGTCTCGATACGGTATCTAGTCTCGACCGTATTTGACTTTCTTACTAATTTGAATATAGTTTATTAACTGTAATTAAATGATAAACTAAACGCGTGGTCATCGTTATCATCGAGTCGAGTACACGAGATCACATCGCGGATGTCAAGGCGCTTTAAAGATCAGCTGATTACCGCATCCCGGACATGCGCGTCTTAAGATCGCAAAAAAAAAAGAAGAAGAAGAGACGAAGCTGTAGCTTCCGGTGCAGCATCTAAAGCTTGTCCTCAGCGAACGGAAGGCAAACGAGAGACGTCCGCCCGCTGTGTGTCCCGTATTCTCATTGTGCTCGCATTGATAAGAAGATCGGGACATTCGGGGAGAGGGGGTAGAGGGGGAGAGGATAAAGAGAAGGGAACAACCGCGTTTTCGTGAGGCGCAGCAACGACGCGACGACGCTACACGATGCGACGCGATGCGACGAGAGAACCGGTTGACCTCGCGAGAGACCTTGTCACATAGATTTTTTTCGATGCATGAGGCTTATCATTTACCGAACGACAGATCAGTCGACGCCATGTTGGATCATCCGTGGATCATCTGTAGATCATCCGTGGACCATTCATCCACGGCGAATCGGCGGCGAAGAGAGAGAAAAAGAAAAATAAAGTTAATCGTCCCCGACGAATTCGATCGACCGAATTCGATACCAAGGCGTCAAAATTGAAATTTTTCGTTCCGGTCGCGCGAATATGAACGATTTCGCGACACGATCGAGCTGCGCGCACTCGCGGCACTCGCGACACGTCAACAATACGGTGAAGACAACGCGTGAAAAATACCCAAACAACGTACACTGTCGCCGCACGGCGAAAGACTGACGACGGCGACGGGAGTGACGGGACACGTCGTGCACGGTGGAGGAACGCTGATCCTCGTGCCTTGCCTCGTGGTGTTCGCGCGATCGCGGCGGCTCGCCGCGGAGTCCTCGTGAAGCGATGAGTCCAGCGGAACGGAGCGGATGATGCGGTGTTTCTGCTTCGAAGTCGCTAGAGAAGAGATGCATATGTACAAATGTACATGCATCTCAGCGTACAGTATATTACAGTAATTTAAATATCTTTAATTGAGAGTTGGGTAAGTTAATGTTTTTTTTTTAACTGAATAAAATTAAGGTTAATGGCTTTACAAAATTAATAAAGTTAAGTTAAAAGATGAAGGAATAAAAAATTAACTTAGCGTAAGTTAAGTCAATATATTGAATTAATTTCAGTTAAAAAAAAGTTAAATTTTGAAAAAAATTATTTTTTTAGATAATGTCCTAATTTTTCTTAAAAGAAATTAAATAACTACAATATAGATTATTTAAGTAAATTAAATTTTTAATTTTTTTATTCATATGTGATATAAGTATATAACACATAATGACATATAATTATATAACTTTAAAAAAACAGCCAGCACTAGAGAAGATACAAGATCAGTGATTACTTTTTAATAAATCTTAAGCTATAAGAAATTGACTAATTACAATCGAATACGAGAAGAATATTTGACTGTAATTGGTCAATTTCTTATGACTTAAGGCTTAAAACACTTATTGTAGATCCGGACTAAGGCTTATAGCATAAGGCATAACCGCATAAACCAATCAGAGGGCTGTATTAGTATTTTAAGAAATTACTTAAGATGGTCTTAAAATATGAACAAATTATAACCGATGTGAACCTGGCGCTCAACTTTATCAAAAATAAAAATTAATACTGCAGGCCGTTTGTACTTCGTTTGTACTTATTTGTACCTCAAACAGTTAAACAAAAAGTGAAAAATAAAAAATGGCCAGCGCCAACTTTAAAATTTTTTAATTTCATTTATGCCATTCGAAAGAGAATCGTTTGTACCCGTTTGTACCTCTATTACTTTCGTTTGTACCTCAAAGAGTTCGGAGATACAGCGCGTTTCAGTTTTTACGCAACCTCTATATAGCAAATTTAGCCAATTTTAAAGATATCGAAATGGGACCAACGGCATTCGAAAGAGAATCATTTGTACCCGTTTGTACCTCAAAGAGTATCTCCGAATCCTTTGAGGTACAAACGAAAATAAAAGAGGTATAAACGAGTACAAACGATTCTCTTTCGAATGGCATAAATGAAATTTAAAAAATTTTAAGTTGCGCGCTGGCCATTTTTTATTTTTCACTTTTTGTTTAACTGTTTGAGGTACAAACGAAATAATGATCGGTACAAACAAGTACAAACGAAGTACAAACGGCCTGCAGTATTAATTTTTATTTTTGATAAAGTTGAGCGCCAGGTTCACATCGGTCAAATTATAGACGAATATACGCCCTTAGTCTTATTATATCTTATTATTTTTCTAAGATATTTAAAAGAGATAAAAAATTTTTTAAATTTTTTAAATTTTTAAAAACTTAAAAAAAAGTTAACGTTAAAAGTAACTTAGTTAAGTTAAAATTTAATGCATTTAAAATTAACTAAGGTAAGTTGAAAGTTATTAACTTTTTAACTTTTTTTTTTAACTTTTAACTAGTTACTATCCAACTCTATTTTATTGTAATTTCTAGGATTGGGTAAGTTAATTTTTTTTTTAACTTTTAAGTTAAGGTTAATAAATGACATAATCTTGAAAATTTAACTTAGTTAAGACACAAGTTGATTTATAATGAAATTAATTGAATTAAAAGTTAAGTTAATAAAAAAAAATAATTGAAAAGTTAAAAGTTAAATTTTTTTATTTTTTATTTTTTTATTTCTTGATTGCAGGATTTCAGTCTTACAAATAACAAAGAAATAACAAAGAATGGAAATAACAAATATACTTCATTTAAAAAATATTCTATATTCTATTTACAGGTTTTATTCATACATACTGTTCATATATACTGTTTATGTAAACTATTGTATATACTGTTTGAATATTTTGTTCACATATATTTATTAAATTTAAATAATAAAGCCATTTCGAAATTTTTTCTCGCAATTCGGACATTTTTTCTCACAAGTTATCCTACAATAATATCCTCCATTGTCCTCCATTAAACAACCGATCAACGTGAATCCACGTGAGCCAAAAATGATATTGATATATTTTAATAATGGGTGTTATATTGTAATAATAAGAAGTAATAGATTTCGACCTATCGACCAGAATTTAGATACATCAAAATACACGGTTTCTGACAGATTGAAATTTGGGGGTGTAATTTGAAATGAGATGAAAATTAAACAAAAGTGAGCAAATTCACTAGAATATTTATAATTCATTGATCAACACCTATTAAATTTACTTTTGCAATTTTCATCTCATATTAAGCTATTGCTATTGCCGCATATTATATCTGAGAATATATACTTATATTATGTCTATTAACTTCAAAAAAATTAAATAAAAATTAATAGTTACAGATAAAATATAACTAAATAAAGTTAAAAAGTTAAGTCTAAATTGTAACTAAGTTAAAATTAATTAACTTTTTAATTTTTTAACTTAATTTTTATCTTTTTAACTTACCCAACCCTGGTAATTTCGTACAACTTGTCATGTGGCGTCATATCTAATAGTTTATTAAAACACTTAATTAAGACTCACCATTAATTTTGATTAATGAAGTATATATTTGTCATCATTATTTTTTACATAGGACTGATGATGATTAAGTAGAGTCGAAATGTTCCCTCTCTCAATTTATATATTGTTAAAATGAATGACAACTTAAAACTTGTAATAAATTAGTTTTAAATTGTGATCTGATTTGCTCTGATTTGCTTTGACCTTTCTTCTTTTTATTATTGCTTTGCATATTAGAGCTAAAAATTTTAAATGTATTAAATATCTTTCTTTTGTTTTTTTAAAGAATCTATCTTTTTAAATCAACGGAAATATTATGCTTTAGCGATGACAGTAGTTTGATAAATGCGTTTGTTTTTATTTCGAATTTAAAAGATGTTCTAATATCTGTTTCTACCGTAATTTAACTTTATAATCTTGATTTAATTAACTCTTGATCTTTTTTAAAAAATAAAATCTTTTTAGAAAACTGGAAAGCAAATTGATCGATAGATATATAAACAATTATATTTTTATTTCGATATTGGAAGATTTTCAAAAATTATAAAAACTACTAATACCATGAATAAGATTAATAAATTTATTAATGTATGAATAACAGTAACATAAAGAATATTTTTTGGAATAAGAAACAAGAGAATGATAACAACACATATAAAATATATAAAAATGTAATATAATAAAAATATAAT